GGGTGTGCAGGAGGCAGCTGATCCATGTTTCTCTCTCATTGATGTTTCTAACTCTCTATCCCTCTCCCTTCCTCTCTGTAAAAAAATCAATAAAATATATTTAAAAATAAATAAATAAAATAAAAAAATAAAGCGCAGGGGAAAAGAGTTGTATGCGTGGGAGCGACTGATTCAGGGTACCCCTCATCTGCGTCTACTGTGGGGGAGCGGGGGAGGGACTGTCCAGGCCGGTGACACAGGGTCCCTTTCTCCCTCCACAGCTCGCCTTTCCCCAGACGCTGCGCCTCTGCCGGAGAGGAGCCTGAGGGAGGGGCCGGAAGCGCCGGCATCCGTCCTTAGGTCCTTAGGCTCCGAAAGCCATGTCCCAGGTAAGGAGCATCTCTCCTCCCCTCCCAGGCATGCGCTGCTTGTCAGGCTGTGTGCGAACAGTCTGGTTTTCTCCTGAGACTCACCAGCCTACCAGCGTTTCCTTCATGAGGGACCTGGCCCTGGTATCCTCCAATCCAGTGTCAGGGGGTCCCCCAAAGCCCAGTGAGCGTCCCCTTTTTCTCAGCATTTTCATGCGTGGGAGCGACTGATTCAGGGTACCCCTCATCTGCGTCTACTGTGGGGGAGCGGGGGAGGGACTGTCCAGGCCGGTGACACAGGGTCCCTTTCTCCCTCCGCAGCTCGCCTTTCCCCAGACGCTGCTCCTCTGCCGGAGAGGAGCCTGAGGGAGGGGCCGGAAGCGCCGCCGTCCGTCCTCAGGCTCCGAAAGCCATGTCCCAGGTAAGGAGCATCTCTCCTCCCCTCCCAGGCGTGCGCTGCTTGTCAAGCTGTGTGTGAACAGTCTAGTTTTCTCCTGAGACTCACCAGCCTACCAGCGTCCTCTCCATGAGGGACCTGGCCCTCGTATCCTCCAATCCAGTGTCAGGGGGTCCCCCGAAGCCCAGTGAGCGTCCCCTTTTTCTCAGCATTTTCACCTTTATCCAAAAATAGTTTAGTGCCGCCTGTGGCTCTCAGGAGGCCATGTGTCAGTGATTATAGTTTGTTTACTATACACTGAGTGACCAGATTATTATGACCACCCCACCAGTACAATGAAGTGGTTATGCAAATCTACACTAATAAAAGAGAAACATGCAAATTGGTGTCACTCCACTACGCCCACCAGCCAATCAGGATGAGTATGCAAATTAACCCAACAAAGATGGCGGTTACTTTGCATACGCGGGCGCGGAGCAAAGACTGAAGGCTGGCCAGAGTGAAGACTGAAGAGGCTTGGCTTCTCC